TTTTGATATCATGAATTTTAGTTAATATCTCTTCTTGAATTTCAAAAAAAAAGAGACTATCTTTTATATTTTCAATAAGATTGCTATGATTTTTATAAAATTTTTTAAAATGTTTAGTAATCTCAGCACAATAATTAATCCATTTAGATAAATCTTCATTAGTTTCATCGAATGATAAGTTAATTTCATCTTGAGTATTTTCTAAGTCAATATTATTCAATCTCTCAATTGATGAAAAAATTTTTGTTTGTAAGTTAGCTAAACCAGAAAGAATCTCAAATGTCGAATTGATCATATGATTAAAATAATAACTGATTTCCAAGGCTTTTTTATCAAAATCTTTAAAAAAGTCAAGTTGATTATCAACTTTGTCAAGATATTCTAGAAAAAATTTTTTGTCATCTTGACGTTCTAATACTTCTGGTATTTTTCGAAGATATTTTCGGTCTTCTTGGTATTCTAAATTTTCTAATAATTTTTTCACATCACCTATTGCATTTTCCAATTGGTTTTGAAAATTTTTCTGCATTTCATATTTTTCAACAGTTGCTATAAGCACCTATGATATTTCAAATATTTTGTTATACAGTATTATAACAAGTTATTTGTATATAAATATGTAGTATTATTTATGATTTATAATTTGTTAATATACTACTATAAATTTAGATCTAATAAATCAATATTTTTGAAAGCTATACCCACATGCTGTAATTTATATAATTGTTAAAATAAATTTGGAGCTAATAAATAAACATTTTTGATATTTATACTCACTTTCTGTAATTTGTTATTGATAAGAGTAATGTTTAGTTATAAAATTATTAAAATACTACCGTATAGCGTGGACTATATTACTTTCCACATGTAAAGTTCTCTATTAAAATTTTCATGTAGAATGTAAAAAACCTGAAAATATATCTATGCAAAATTTTTTGATATAAAGAATTTGTATCTCAGCTATTAAAAAAAATTATTTTGCCTTTTGAATATATCATGCCTGAGGTGCTACAGTCTGTGCTGTACGATATTAAATAATATTCTTGATGAAACTACAGCATCTTTATTATAAGACATTTCGTCATATGCAACTTATGACGAAGCCTTGGCGATTGATAAAACCTTTTATAAATGGCAGATAATTAAACAAATATAATATTGCTAACAATAAAAATGCGTCATTCATTTTTAGCTACTTGTTTCAAGAGTAGAAAATTCTCAATATCGGAATTTTTTTATATTGTACCGATTTTAAAGAATTTTAATTTTATATTTATGCAGGTAATAAGAAGCTAAAAATGAAAAACCTATTTACAGTTGAATATTAAAGTTAAAATAAAAATTTCCATCTTCACAATAAAGACGGCGATTAATATGAAGCGGGGTATCAGGATGCTAACGTCGCGGAATACTAATGTGTATTAAGTAAATGTGTTCAAGATAATGGCTACACCAGATAAAATTCCATTAAAAGCATATTTTACTATCATGAACATGTTTACTTTATACACAATTTTCCATTTAAGGCCAGACTAATTTGATTTTCTGTTTTTGACATAAGATGACTTGTAAGAGAGATGTGTGCGTATTGAAAATATAAAAGATAGTCTCTTTTTTTTTGAAATTCAAGAAGAGATATTAACTAAAATTCATGATATCAAAA